AATAAACCCAGTTTATCCCACTTCAGGATGAGAAACAGTGTGAAGCAGAGACAAACACTCCTAGCTGAGGTTCCCTAGACCGTGGATTTCCAAACATTTTCTTTACAGGTCCAGAGAGTAAGTATTTTCAGCCTTTTGGGCTATATGGTCCCTTCAACTATTCAATTCTACTGTTATGCTGTGGAAGCAGACATCAATATGTATACAAATAGGCATGGCCTGATTTGGCCCACAGCCAGCAGTTTGCTGACCCTTACTGTGGACCAACTAGCCTGCCAATTGCCAGACATGTGAAAAAGGTCATCTTGGACCACCCAAGCCACAGTGGAACCTCCAGCAGACTGCACAATCAACTGAACCAAGTCATGCCAGAACAATTGCCAAGCTGACCTATAGAATTATGTCTGTTGTTGTAAGCCAACAAGTTTGAGGGTGGTTTGTTACACAGTACTAGTCTTTGCCATCATTGGATATCATCAATCTTTTAAAATTTTTGTTAATCTGTTGTGTTAAAAATGGTATTCAGATGCCCATACCAGCCAGCCATCATGAATAATAAATAAACAAATAAATGAAAATGGTCTTTGACATACCTTTCCATGTGTATTAGTTTGTTTATGTTGCTCATAACAAAATACCTGAAAAACTGGGTAATGTGTAAGAAGACAAAATTTATTGCTTACAGTTTTGGAGGCTGGGAAGTCCAGAGTCCAGAGAACACATTTGGTGAGATGACTCTACAGCAATGCAGGGTGTCACATGGTGAGAGTGGTACAGCAGAGAGAGAGAGATATTTCCTCAAGTGCTCTTCTTTTAAAGCCCTCAGAACCACACTACTGACCACTGTTATTAATCCGTTCACTACGGGATGGTCCTCCAAGCTAATCATCTCTTCAAGGCCCCACCTTTCAATTGCCATAATAGGATTTCCCACCCTCAACAGTTACAGTGGGAATTAAGCTTCTAATATATGAACTTTGGGGGACACAATTCAATCACTCCACAACACCATGATTACTAATGTGTTAGAGCATTTTTTCATGTACATTCATTGGTCAATTATATATTCTCTTATGTGAGTTTCCTGTTCATATCTTTTGCTCTTTTTTTTTTTTTTAAAGATGACCAGTAAGGGGATCTTAACCCTTGACTTGGTGTTGTCAGCACTGTTAGGCAATCATGGTCTACTCGAGGACAGTCTAAGATGGCAGCAGAATGCCCAAAATGGCTGCAGAAAAGTTTCAAGGCCCCTAGAACAGCACATTTTCCGAGAACAAAGACCCCTCTCCCCCTTCTTCCTCACCGCCACATCCCCTTCCTGCGTGCGCGAATTTCTCCACCTATAGAAAAACCCCAACTCAGCTTAAACCTCGCTCACTGCCCTCTCCTCCCTCCCTAGCCAATAAGAACAGTCCAGCTCAGCTTAATGGGATATTATGGGCTCACCCCAACTCTCCCTGCTGCTGCTCCCACTTTCGAGAGAACAACCCGCCTGTCCATTTTGCCTGCTTAATACATGGTGGTTGAGCCTTTGTCTCCTGGTGTGTTTCTCATTCTGCGTTTGGGCCAGGTTTTTCCTCTCAAGCACCATGCTCTCTGAAGTGAGCTAACCAGCCATCCCTACATAGGGATCCGAACCCTTGGCCTTGGTGTTATCAGCACCACACTCTCCCAAGTGAGCCAGTAGCCGACCCTCTATCGCTCATTTTAATGTTGGATTTTTTTCTTATTGATTTGTCATTGCTTAAGAAGATATCTTGAATGTTAACTTTGTTATATATATGTTTCAAATATTTTCTCCATTTGTTGTCTATTATTTATAGTATCTTTTATTATATTGAATTTAAAATTTTTTATGTGATCAAATCTAGTAATCTTTTCCTTTACGGTTTTGAGCAGTCTTTAGAAGGCTCTCCCTATTCTAAGCTTATGAAAATATTCTCCTATATTTCCTCTAACATTTTTTTTTTTTTTTTGTCTTTTGTCTTTTTTCCGTGTCCGGCAACGGATCGCACCCCTCAGTGTTGCCGCCGTACCGGACCGGGGACCGGCAACGGGATTGCAAACCTCTGTGTTGCTCCCGCGCCTCGCTCAGCCAGTGAGCGGGAACCGGTCTGTACGTGGGATCCGAACCCTCGGGCGGGAGCGCCGCCGCGCTTCCCAAGCGGCGCACTATCCAGTGCGCCACCGGGCCGGCCCCTCCTCTAACATTTTTGTAGTTGATTTTATACTTATTGTGTTCGTTAATCCATGCGGGATTTATTTTATGTATTGTGTAATTTAATTTAATTTTTTTTTTTTTTTGGCAGCTGGCTGGTATGGGGCTAATTGGGCAGCCTGTAATCTTAATTTTTCCAAGTAGAAAAACATTATTACTGGCTATTCTTGCACATTGTTTCCCAGATAAATTTTATAACCATCTTAAGTTTCCTATAATAACCACTGTGGATTTTAGGTGTTATTCTTATTTGCCTCCTATTTTTTCAGCATATCCTCAAATTTTCTGGTCTATCATGGCACTGTTTAGGTTCAGCCCAATTTGAAATTCATTATTTAATTTTTAAAGTTAATACCTTCTGTTTTATGGAACTTGAAACAGGAGGAAGATTAAGTTAGTCAGGCATACAATTAGATCCAATTCTTCCACCAGTATTAATTTTTGAAATTTACTTTTTAAGTCTTGAAAAAATTCAGCATTATTTATAATAATGAAAATACGGTGTCCTAAGGGTAAAGGATCACTTGAGTAGCTCTCTCGGTTATGTAAAGGTAGGCTGAGAAACTGTTATTATTCTGGGACTACGGTGTCACCTTTGTGAAGGTGGTCATTAGATCCCTGATATATTAACTTTGGTTTCTAAGAAGGAACTGGATAAAATTTATATAATTTTTGGGTCTTCTGGGCTAGAAGGAACTGGTACTAAAACCATTACTCCTGGAGACATGAACTTAGAAAGACCTTTGGCTGTTGACTGGCCGGTTCTGGCCAAAGGACAGTGACAGGGAAGAGCAAAGAGTCCTTGAAGTAATTAATTTCAGTTAAGTGGGAGTCCAGCCTGATATCCTAAACTGTTGATTTCAGCCCAGTAGGCAGCTGATGCTGAAAGCAGCTCTGGTACCTGCTATGAAACATTTCAGAATTGGTAGCATTATCTATGGGATGTGCAAAATCAGTTTCCTGCTACATAGAAGCAGCAAGAAACAAAGGATGTAATTGATTAATTGAGCACCTATATTATCCTTTCTGGGGTGCGGAAGTTGAACAGACTTCTCTGACCAGATTAAGTCCTTGGGGATTTTTGGGTAAATAGGAGAGATAAGCCCTAAAAGGCAGACATTGAATATCTTGTTAATCTATTTTATTAAGTCTCCAGACAATTTTTATTTTATATAAAAAGAGTTTAAAAGGAGATATATTTATCATTGTACCACAAGATTTGGGAGTAGGTCATGCCAGTTACATGGGAAACAACATCTAGAGGGGAATTAGTTAAAAAAAAAGGGGGGGGGGCCGGCCTGGTGGCGCACTTGGTAGAGTGTGGCGCTTGAGAGCGCGGCTGCGCTCCTGCCGAGGGTTCAGATCCCATATAGAGACCGGTCCGCTCACTGGTTGAGCGTGGTGCGGGCGCGACACCGAGGGTTGCGATCCCGTTGCCAGTCACGGTACGGGCGCGACACCGAGGGTTGCGATACCGTTACCGGTCACGAAAAAAGACAAAAAGGAAAAAAAAAGGGGGGGGATATATCCATAAGATTTGATACAGTGCTGCGCACCCATCACAAAGGATAATATAGAACTATATTAATTGAAGTAGGCGAACCTCCAAGATTTATACTGGGAGTCTTCAAAAAGTTCATGGAAAGATTCCTATTCTCTTTTCTTTTTTTGGCGGCTGGCTGGTATGAAGATCTAATGATTCCTATTTCTTTTTAGTTGCATTTTTCCATGAACTTTTTGAAGTACCCTAGTATTTGAATGTATATATTACTATTTGTATAAAATTATTTGGTTATACAGGGTGTCCACAGGGAATTGGTTCCAGGACCTCCTGCATATCCCCAAATCTGCAGATTCTCAAGTCTCTCAGTCCCTTGTGGAACCTGCATATCTGAAAAGTCAGTCTTCCGTATAGGCACGTTCCACGTCCTGTGAATACTGTATTTTCCATCCATGGTTGGTTGAAAAAAATCCGAGAATGTAGACCCTGGCAATTAAAACCCATGTTGTTCAAAGGTCAACTGTATATCCTTGAGTTTATACAGGCTTAGAAGTTAAGTTGCCAAAATTTGATGGACAGACTGGCCAGTTAACTCTGTTGGTTAGAGAATGGTGCTAAGAACACCAAGCTCAAGGGGCCAGCCGCCAAAACAACAACAAAATTCGATGGTGATTGGCTCTGGGTGGTGAGATTTTAGATATTTTTTCCTCCATACTTTTATTATTTAAATTACAAATCTTCAATTATGAAAATGTTTTATCTTTATGAAATATATTTTTTAAAAAATGGAAACTGGGCCGGCCTGTGGCTCACTCGGTAGAGTGCGGTGCTGATAACACCAAGGCCACGGGTTCGGATCCCATATAGGGATGGCCGGTTCGCTCACTGGCTGAGCATGGTGCTGACAACACCAAGTCGAGGGTTAAGATCCCCTTACCGGTCATCTTTTAAAAAAAAAAAAAAATGGAAACTGACCAGAGAAGTTATAAGGAATATCAACAATATTAGGAGCTTACTAAGTGCTAGACATTATGCTAAATGTTTTATATGCATTATCTGATTTAGAGGTTATTATCTTGTTTCCCATTACTATCTTGAGCAAACCGAAGCTTGGACAGTTTAAGTAAATTGCCCATAATCACAGGGTTAGTAAGTGGTGGGAGCAGGATTAAAGCCCAATTTCCCTGGCTGCAGAGATAGGGTCTCTATGGTCTCTTTGATCTGACCTATAGGGTAGCTGGATGGCTCTTTGGAACTATCAAAGAACAAAATTACAACAAATTTAGTTGAACAGCTCAGTGGGCTTTATTGCGATTCTAGAATCGAGCAATACGTTATTCCATAAAATGGTGTTCCAACGAGCCAAGCAGAGGAGGTTGCTTTAGACAGAAACAAAGAACAAAAAGCGGATTGGTCATTTCAAAGTTTACACTCCTTGTAAAGTGGGGTCTGGAAGACAAAAGAATAGAAAAATAACAGCAGGTTACTTCAGCTATCTCTTTCCTGTAAGGATTAAAGCAGAGAGAACTTCATTACCATACCTATTGATGATTTAAACTGGCCTGTTCCAGAAACTGGCTGTCTTCTTTCTCCTGATTTCTAGGAAGGTCAGACCACAGTCCAAGTGACAGGGAACTCTTTATAAGGCGTGACTCCATTTTGATTTTTAGTCTGGTCTTTTGGGACCTAGTGCAGGAACTTAGTCCAAAATAATGGCCTCCTATAATTTTTATTTAACAGAGCCAACAGAAATTTACTAACACCCTAAATACGGTCTACTTCCACCCCACCAGTCATACCTCCAAGGCCATTTCCTCTTTCATCTTCTCAGAAGCAAGCTCTAAATACCATAAAATAACTAGTACCCTGGCATAGTCCCTTTCCCTTGAATCTGGCCTGACCCTTTAACTTGCTTTAGCCGACAGAGTACGATGAAAGTGCCAAACCCCAGAGAGTGTGATTTAGTAAGTCTGGAGTGGACCCCAGAAGGTTTTTTTTAAAAAAAATAAACAAGTTCCCTAGCGGATTGGAAAGCAGATAACCCTCAAGCCACACTGCGAAGAACTCCGCCCGCTACCACGCCCCCGCTTTCTGTCCGAAGGAGCCGCAAACTCCAGGTCTCGCGACAGTTTCTTCTTTCAAGATGGCTACAGGTCTCGCGAGAGTGACTTGTCCAATCACAAGGCTAGATAGCTTCACAAGATGGCGGCGCGCTGGGAGCGTAACATCTGCGTTTCTAGGAGCTTCGCGCTGCAGGTGGTTTAAGATTCTGGGGTTGTACAGGCCGTTGCCAGACACGTCTTCTGGCAGGAACATCGATCTCAGAGGTAGGTCACTTTAACATCTCTCATGTGGGTTCCGATCGTGGTTTACTTAAGCCATATATCACCTGGCTTCCTCATTCTCAGATTTTGGGCTCGTGAGGTGCTGACTTCGGGGTCTAGGGAGGGAGACCTGATGTGGGTATGTGTGCACGCGCAGGTGTGTTGGGGGTGGTTGGTTGGAACGAGTTGGCGAATAGAATAGAGACTAGGATTGAAGTAAGAGATACCCCCGGGTCTGAGGAGGTTTAGAGAGGTCCAAAACTGAGGAGGGAAGGCAAACTGAGTGGCTAAGATGACGTGGAGGGAAAGCGACAACTGGCGGTTGCGGGACGAATGGAAAAGTCGGATTTATGAGGGAAGACGAAGAGAGAAAACGGAGATTGGGGTGGATGGAGGTGGGAGGGATCTGTGCAGAAGGAATTCGAAGTTCTGAAAGCGGAATTTAGACTATTTTAAGGCTTATGTATTAAGAGAAATGGTAATTGAAGAGGGTTAAGGGTCGGGAGGAACCAAGGAAACAAGCGTGCAGATGAGAAAGATCAAAGCGGAAGCAGCTTTTGGGACTGACTCACGTAACCCGGCAGAAAAAGTTTCAATCCTTGGGCTGAGGTTTTTTTGAGACTCAAGATGGGGACTGCTTATCCAGAATGAGGGTGCTATGTTTCAGTGGACTGGACAGTGAGAAGAGTTCCATCGTGCTTTCAATCAACAAATATTTGAGTGCCTACTCTCCCAGGCCCTATTTTAAGTGTTAGGAAATCCCGGTGAACCAGACAGACAAAATGTTTTCCCTGACGAAGCTTACTGGCAGGGCAGATTTTAAGAAATGAGCAAAATATATGGAATGTCAGATGGGTAAATTTCATATAGAAGACTGAAGTTAGGAAGAGAGACAAGGAGTGTGTTCATTCACTGCACATTTAAGTGGGTACTCAGGAAAGGGATCGATGCAATGTCATTTGACCAAAGACCTGAAGAAAGTGAGGTTACTACGTATGTTATGTATTTCTGGGGGAGACAGCAGTGCATGCAAACCGAACAGCAAGTGCGAAAGCCCTAAGGCATGAGTGTGCCGGACTTGATAGAGAAACAGCAAAGAGGCCAATGTGGCTAGAGCAGAATGAGCCAGGAAAAGTAGGAGAGTAGGTTAGAGAAAAGTGTGAGTGACAGTCCTGATGCCAGGTGAGAGCTGACATGCAGTTAAACTCTGAGAAATGGGATACAGATGTTCCTTGACGTCCGGTGGGATCAAGGACCCAATGAACCCGTGGTAAGATAAAAAAGAAAAAAATCGTTACATTGGGGACTGTGTATTTTTAGCTAAGAAACTATTGCCTGTATTAGGAGGTTAGTTAGCAAAGAAACGGTTTCTTTGACTCGTTCTGTATCTTTCCTAATGTAGAAAAAAGGGTTGAGTAATGTAGGAAATGAACTAAATTTGCCATATCTGTAATTTAGTTTGTTTCACATATGTTCAGAGTGTCATGTTGTGAGTGCACTGATGTCTGCTATGTTGTCTTTGGGATCTTCATTAACGTGTTGCAGGGCTCTAACATCCCAGTGTCTTTTGAAACTACTGTTAGAGTACCTTACATTTTTGTTCCTTGCCAGAATTACAGGAAAGGAAAACGTTTTCCTTTTCGATGTTTTTCGGGGGACTGAGACTTGTCCTAGTTTTATATGCCCCACTTTCTTTTCTTTTCTTTTTTTTCCCTCTTTTTAATTTTTAGAAGTTATTTTTATTTCTTTATTACTTTTGGGGGGGCATCTTGCCGGTAAGGGGATCCGAACCCTTGACCTTGGTGTTACACCTGCTATAACCAGCTGAGCTATCTGGCCAGCCCTCCCCTCTTTCATGATGGTCTGTAAAGGAGATGTTAGTATTAGGAAATTAAAACTGGGGTATAATGAGTTTCAGTGATAGTGTGAGGGGCAAAAGGTAGTAACTTAGTGTGCTGAAAAACTTCCAGGTAACTACTAATTCCTCCAAATTCTGAATTTCCTCAACAAATATTTATTGTATGCCACTTGCTGGGGTACAGTGGAGAATAAGATGGATATGGTTGCAGCCTGCTTTCTGTCTGTGTGTGTGTGTGTGTGTGTGAGAGAGAGAGAGACAGACAGACAGACAGACAGACATAGGGTAAACTAATTACACACATAATAACAAAGTGAAGAGCTCTGAGGAAAAAGCACAAGGTGCTTTGAAAGTATACATAGTAGGCACCTGGTTGGATATGTGGTGTCAGAGAAAGCCTACCTGAGAATATGATGCTTGGGATTTGATTTGAAGGGCTAGTGGGCCTTCAGAGGTGAAAGGAGATATGGTGGGAGGGTGAGGAGAATCTTGCAGGCAGTAAGAATAGCAGATGGTGGGACAGACCGCTATGCAGCAGAGAAAATGAAAGACCAGAATGTCTGAAGCATAGTGCAGAAGGAGAAAGTGGCATCAAATGAGGTTGGAGAGATAGGCAAGGCCTAGATTATGTATACCTTGTTAATGCTTTTAGACTTTATTGGCCTAATAGTTTTGGGAAGCCACTGATTAGCAAGGGAATGTTCAGATTTGCATTGAGGGGTGTGCAGGGGGAGACTTGTCTGCTGGGTGAAAAATGGATTGCAGCAGCGCAAGAGTGGTTACAGAGAGATCAATTTGAGGCTCCTATAGTAATCCAGAAAAGAAATGATAATGATTTGGGCTAGAGAGGTGAAGTTGTGAAGGGTGAAAAGTCAAATAGGGTCAAGAAATAATTAGTGGGCAGACAATATTCAGGACATGATGTGTGTTCAGAATGAGGAAGAGAGGGTGGGAAGGTGCTAAGGATTTCTGGCTTGTGCACCACAAGCCACATGAAAGAAAGTAGTGCCATTCAGTGAACTAGAGAAGATTAGGAGAGGACCAGCTTGGGGTGGGTAGAAATAATTTAATTTTGTGCATGAAGTTCTTTTGAGCCATTCAAGTGAGAAGTGTGGTAGGCAGTTAGATATGATTTGGAAAGGTCTGTAGTGAAGACAACAGTTCTGTTTTGAAATTAGTCGTTTAATTTCCGGTGTAGAAAGCTGTCAATCTTCTGAGGGCTGGCTGGTTAGCTCACTTGTGAGAGCATGGTGCTGGTAACACCAAGGTCAGGGGTTTGGATCTCCATGTAGGCCAGCCACCAAAACAAACAAACAAAAACCTTTTGAAATAAAGTGTTAACAGATTTATTATGACTTAATTGGGAAGATTAGGGAAGGAAAGACTTTCCTGAAGAAGAGATGCTTGAACTCTGATTGAAAGGAATTCACCAGCTGAAAAGGTACATTACAGATAAAAGTAACAGCCTGTGTAAGGGCCTTGTGGCCAGGGTGGAGGGATGGCAAGAAGAGCAAGGAGATGTGACTTAAGCTGATGGTAAAGTGATAGGTAAGGCCAGACAATGCAGGGCCTTATATATATGCTGAAGTACTGATTTTTTAAAAAAAAATTCTAAGAGTAGGGTTTTGAGCAACTGGTCATAGGAGGAGTACATATCATAATTTTGTGTTTAGGAATGATCACAGCAAGGTGGAAGAAAGAGTAGTGAGAACAAAAGTGGATGCAGGAAGACCAATTAAGAGGCTGTTCTAGAAATCTAGGTAGCTGATATTGGTGGGGATGGGAAAATAGAAGGATTTGAGTGGTATTTATAGCAGGTAAAACCCACAAAACTGGTGATTTCTTGGATATGATAGAGAGAGCTATCAGGTGATTCCTAGATTTCTGGCTTACATAATAATATGTAGGTGAATGTTTGTTATAAAAAAAAAGTAGAAAATACACAACAACGAAGAAGAAAATAAAAATCACCTACCACCCAGACATAGATGCTAAAATAGTTTTTAGATTACTCACTACCTAGAGATTTATTAAACCACTAATGGTTTTTCTTCCAGTTTCTATTTCTTGATATAAATATATTAGCTTTTTTCCTTTTTGTAATCTGAAAAAAGATAAAATTATGTTTGTTTTCATTTTGTTCTAACTACCTAGGAATGACAAAATTGAAATTTATAAAAGAAGTTGGAATAGAAGATACTTTTTCAAACTTCAGTGACTTGATGTTTCTCTACCAAATTATTCAGTTCTTTCAAGGCCACTGTAAAAACTAACTTCTAACTATAATCTTGGCTGTAGAGTATACTGCCTTCTGTCACTTTGATACTTTTAAAGGAATAGTACTCAATTTTCTTCTCTTGATGTGTACTTTTTAAAAATTATGGTAAAATATACATAACAAAGTTACTATTTTTAGCCATTTTTAACCATTCAGTGACGGTAAGTATATTCACACTGTTGAGCAGCCATCACCACTATTCATCTCCAGAACTTTTTCATCCTAACAAACTGAAACTCTGTATGGGCCGGCCCGGTGGCGCACTGGATAAGTGCGCTGCTTGGGAAGCGCGGCGGCGCTCCCGCCCGAGGGTTTGGATCCCACATACAGACCGGTTCCCGCTCACTGGCTGAGTGAGGCGCAGGAGCAACACCGAGGGTTGCAATCCCGTTGCCGGTCCCCGGTCCGGTACGGGGGCAACACTGAGGGTTGCGATCCGTTGCCGGACATGGCAAAAAGACAAAAAAAAAAACAAAACTCTGTACCCATTAAACAGTAATTCCCCCTTCCTCCCTCTATTCCACTCTCTGTCTATATGAATTTGCCTGTTCTTGTTAAGTACCTCATATAACTGGAAGCATATAATATTTGTCCTCTTGTTTGTTATTTCCCTTAGCATAATGTTTTCAAGG